GAACAACACAAGTAAGAAGACTATTTTCTTTGTTTTTATTCCCCCTTGTTGCATAGGGCTCCCTCGGCTGTGCACGCCGAAAATTTTGCGCCCTCTCCAAAATAACAGTGCACATAACCCCTTATTCATCATTTTTTTGTTGTAGTTAGCCGCGCTTCTTTCTTCTGTTGAGCCCTCATATTGTTATTTACCCCATATCAAGCGCACTTTTTTCCAGCTGTGCGGACTTTCAACTTTCGTATTTGGCAACATCATGCAGCAGTCTTCGTCGTCGCTGTCGCGCACAGTTAGCCCAGACGCGCAATCCCTTGACGCAGCAGCATCAGCGCCTAGTACATCGCGCGCGAGATCACAAGGCCCGGCTTCAGTAGACGACGCTATTAGGAAACTGGCAGGCATAGAAGCGAGACGTCGCGTTGCGCACATGAGTAACGAGCTGGAATGCAGGCAGATACTTGCAGCGATTGAGCGACAGCAGCAGCGTTTACGCGCGCGCATCGCTAGTAATGACCCAGACGCGCCTCTTTTGCCTAACCCAGCACCTGATAGGATGGCGCCTACACTACCGCTTCTGCAGGACTCTGCAGACGCGCTGCCGCATACGGTAGAAGAGCTTACAGCCGCGCAGCTCCGCAGGGTCTATCAGTTTCTTATTAGGTCGGGCACGCCGCTAGCGCCAGTACAGCAGGAAGTTCAGCAGGCCGCGCTTTTAACACCTGAGCAGCAATACCAGGCCGCGCAAGTAGTATTCCATACGCGCCAGCTAACGGATGTGCTAGACAGCGCTAATAACGTTTTTATGAACGCGCAAGTTTTACTGCTGCGCAAGGACAAGATGAACTTGAGGTATGTCGCGCTGATGGGCCATATACACATTGTGCAGCACATCAGCACTGGAATCGCAGTCCATCGCGATCTTATCTTGGAGTATTTACTGCCACCTCTGTTTGCGCGCTCGCAAGTCTTTTTAGATGCTTTGGCCGCGCTAGGATGTACCGAAGCCACTATCACGGAGAAGACCATGGCCGCGTCAGCAGCGATAGCTCATGCCACCCGCTTGACGCGCACATTGGAAGCCCTTCAGATGAACTGTGTCATCTCGCGCCGAGGATTGAGTTTTACAGAGCAAGATCAAGAGTACCGCAGACTTGCCGCGCCGGCCGATCCTGGACCACCACCCTTGCAGCCGCGCACCTATACTCAAGCTCTGCGGATGTGGCAAGAGAGTTATGATGAGATGCTCCACAGTTCTCTGACTCACGAATTCCTTGACATGATCGAGCGAGAAGGTCTTAAGGTACAGTCCGATGAAGAGCAACCACAAGAGAGCCCAGAGAGTGAGCAGTCCTCGACTATAACTGTTTCTTCAGTCGCGCGAGACATCAGCGCTATATCGTTACCCGAAATTAGGAATTTGGAGAGAGAAGAAGTCCTACCGGAAGATCAAGGACAGACAGTGTCGCTTCAGCCGCCGGACGCGCAACAGGAAGAACCATCGCAGACATACCCGACGCGCCAATCAGCCCCACAAGAAGAACAGCAGCACCCAGGCCCTTCGATTCCACCGGAACACCGCCTTGAGCACATTCTCGACGCCGTGCTGGAGGCTGGGCAGGAGCCCAATCAGCCAGTGCAGTAAGCCGCGCAGCCAGTGAGGTTCGAAGGAAGATTTAGGCGAGAACATCGGCCGTGCGTTTTTTGTGAAGGGACGCGACACTTCAGCGCGGAGTGCAACGTGGTCAAGGACATGATAGAGAGAGTGCGTATCGCGCAGCAGAAAGGGATCTGTCCTAAGTGTCTTGCGGTGCATTATGGGAGCTGTTTTAAGGAATTTCACTGTAAGAACTGTGGTGGGGCGCGCCATCACCGCGCGTTTTGCATGCGTAACTCGGGTATAGATAAGAGCAATGTGCACATGCCGGCGGCCGCGTTTTATTCCTGGCTTGAAGAGCTAACCTACAACCCGATATCATCTGGGGAATTCCAGCCGCGCGCTAGAACACCGTCGCCTCAGCGTGGCGCGCGTGAGTAGACCTTGAGGGCGAGCTAGTGCGTGACAGTAACCTGGAAGGAGTCGAGAGAATGTAATATCTGGCCGTATGCAATGAGTTGGACGCGTGTGGAGATGTATGGTACGCACTTGATACGCGTATGGTCATCTGGCTGGAAATGTATGTGTGAATGGTTGATGCGGTGGTCGCGCGTCACTGTTGTGGTTGCGGTCATGTGGTTCGATGTGGAATGGTTGTCAGTGGTCACGTATCTAGCTGCTTAGTGATAAGCCCTCTACATACATTTATTCATATTTAACCACCTGTATGTATTTTTGATCTTGTTTAATCTCAGTTAACCGCATTTAGCCATTTACTTACCCACGTATATTATTTAGCGTTTGAGTTACTTTGTTATGTTTTACTCAGTTTTGCATCAGCACGGGCCGAGTTTCTCATATTCTTTTTGTCGCGCGCCCCTACTGTGCTGCCGATGGTAATATTTATTTTTGGTCATACTCGGTTAGGTGCTCTCCGTTGTGGACTCCAGCGTTATCACGTAACCACCTTCCGAACGTCCAAGTCCACTGTTTCGGGGGGGAGTGTCGCGGCTCGCGCGATGCAAGCCACTCCTCGAAACAGGAGACCGGGAGCGCTGGCTGTCGCGTTACTTGGCGCGTTATCAAGATCGCGCCAAGACCTCTCCTGCTGGGCGCGTTGCCAAGTCTCAGGGTATATAAGGGCGCGTGGGCTGCGGTCTGCGCCTCCTTGAGCTTCGTTCGTTATCGATTTTTTGATGATATCAACCCGCTGGCAGCGCCTCCAGTAGCTCCCGCAGATGATCAACGGTTTCGAGCGGTTGAGCCTTTTGATATTCTTCTTGTGCATGGAGACGCGCAGCTAGTATTGTAGTCTAACAAGCAGCGGAAAGGATTGCGGGAGTGGAGAGGGGACTCACTGTCCCGTAAGGGCTAGGGTCTTGCGGCTGACCCTTCGGAGAACCCGGAACTACTCGTGTTGGATTCGATCTTCATCAGGCATCGGCAGCACGGGACGAGGCGGCTCGTCCCGTGCGTATTCTTCTTGTCCTGGAGTAGTAGTAGTAGTCTGAGTAGGGTTTAGTGAATTTTTAGTAGTTTTAGTATTTTTTGTTGTTCTATTAGTTGTTGTTATTTTGTGTAGTTTTAGATAAATGTGATGTAATCTAGTCGTGCGTGTGATGTTCGTGTCGTACGGGTTAGAGGGGTGTAGGCGTCGAGCAGACGCGCTAGAGGGCGCGCACTAGCGTCGAAGCGGTAGATCCTGGAGTCAGGAGTTGTGATGTCAGGCGGACGAGCACTGGGCGAAGTGCTGAGCACACCGAGCCGCAACACCCTCCTTCCAGCCGCCAATTCAGTTGAATCAAAGGGTACATATAGAGTTGCATCAAAACTTCCCGTGTACATATTCCCACTGTCAAAGTAAATTTAGATTAACTTTACGGGAGATTCAACCATAAATTTGGTTTCTTAGTTCTTGAAGCTTATGACAGGATTGTCATCCAAAATTCAGCTTTCTGTCATAAAAAAGAATGCGAAGAATTTTCTATGTGAGCGGGAATACAAAATGCTCTCGTATGTGAATTTTACCATCTCTTTTTCTCGCTCCCCACCTTGATTTGCGAAAGGGATTTTGGATTTTTTTGTTTGGAATTTTGGACTCTCAAAAAATTTTTGGAGTCTACTTTTTTTCAATGTAGTGCTTAGTCCAGATTTCTGGTTTTTCGAGCTGGATATAGAAGTTTTGTAGAATTATTTGTAGAGAGGTGATCACGGAATTTGCGGCCTGAGCTCGAAAACATTTGGAACCAACATTCCGACACTTCACTTTCACCCCTTTTTGGGTCTTGATAATAAAAAAATTGCATGAGATTCTGAGCACACAACCAGCATGCACATTGGAGATTTGACGTCTGTAAAACAGTAAAATATTATCTTATTTTGCGAAGTTGATTTCTTAACTGTGGATTCCATTCTGAGGCACTCTTTACCTAGTGATATGGACGTTGAGTAATTGTAATTGCATTTGTTGTGGTGGTTGCTCTTCTTATGTTTAGACCTCCTTGTTTCCAAAGTGCATATCTCTGGCAATATTTTCTGAGCATACCTACTTTATTTAGTATCAGAAGCAGCTGTGAATAAAATGATTGGACACTTTTTGTTGAGCTGAATATCAATCACAATAGCAGGCAAGGTCAGGTTCGAGGAAATGCTCTCTTAGCCTGAGGTGAAACGAATGATCATGTGACAGGGCTTAGCACAGGTGGCTTATAAGTGAGCTGGATATCGTTTTTGGGACAAAAAGCAAAGGGGGTATTTTGTGGGTCCAAAATTCGTTTTTTTAGTTGACATTTCGTTTTAGTCAATTCGGGTGTTTTGTATAAGGGGTCAAAGGGGACTTCATGAAATTTTGCGAAAGTCAGGGAGACTTCGCTGCATCTTGAGCTTTGCCAAGTCATTCCGAATCTCAACGTTGATAGAAATACATTTTATTGTCAAATATAAACTCATTGACTACATCTATGTACTTGTTATTTTGGAGTTTTAGGCACCTGCAATGTCTGCCGCTGTCGATTTCACCATAGTGCAAAAATAGTTCTTTGATTTTGAATTATCAAGTGCTTTAGTACAAATCCGGATGTACCTAAACATATAAGAGTTTTATACTTTACCACGGGTCTATATAATTGGATGAGGAAGGAGCGATTCCTTGGTCTGAGTTGTCCGATATAAATTTTCACGACAAATGGTAAAATTTTGATCTACGATTCTCATTCTGTCTCTAAAAAATTACTCAAGAATTTGATTTCATGCCGTACAAGATCACTTCGGAGCTTTTTTTCGTCAAACTGTAATTTTTGTCCTACAGTGCCTAAAATCTTTGTGTTTTTCGATTTCTTCGTCATATTCGGCTCTGTGTTTCAGCTCGTAAGGTTTGGTTCAATCGTAGAACCTATTTTGTATCTTTCAGAGATGTCATGAAGTGTTGTCTAGGACTAATGTTGCTTTTGATAGGAGCGACACTCGCTTACAATAAAGAATACGCAAGTAAAAACTGTGAGTTTCTAGCTTTTTGTACTTAATCTCGATTTATGCTTTGGAAATTTATTTCAAAGCATAATTTGTTTATGATAAACTCATCAAAACTCCTTATGCTTCAAATTCCAATTTCAGTGCTAAAATTACGGTGTTATCAGTGCAATCAGCCTTTTCAATGTGGTCACGGTGTCTGCTATGGAGATTTATGCGTAAAGACGTCAAGTGAGTGGACTTATCCCTGATTATCTCTGAGCTACCGTATTCTACAGTAAGATGCAATAATTCCATAAAGTGATGGATAAGAAAGCTAAGTGGACTAGTGGATATAATATGTAGGATGTGGGGTCGCGAAGAAGCTGTTGAGAAATTTTTATAATTTTTTGGAACGGAAGAAAATTTTCGTTTCCGCGAACTCTTTTTTTCCGTTTTCGCCTGGTCGGATATTAGCGACGTTTTCCCGTTGCTCTAAATGCTGAAAATCTTAGAATTTTGGTGCGAAGTGCAAATTGGTGATTTAGTTCATCAAAAGCATATATACCGACACTCCACAAATAGCAAAACAATCTGTGGGAATTTTTATGCTAACGATTTTTCTCGCCTGTACTAGTTTTTTAGCTCAAATGAAGCGTAGAGAGCTCTTTTGTAGAGGTACTGGTTTTAATAATCAAAGAAGAAAATGTTTGAATTGTAACATCTTGAGAAATCTTTCAAAATCTTCATTTTAAGACATTCCATACTATTACGGACATTCCTTGCTGTATTTTTCCTCATTTCTCCATTTCAGTATCGCAGAACAATGCCTACGTGAGCAAAGGATGTGAAAACATAACGTAAGTTCCTCGAATCATTTCTAATTTTTCAAATCAAACCTTAGTGTACCAAACCATAAACTCTGCATGTTGGATAAAGTGCCGAAATTTCACTAACATGTGTAAGGAGAATACTGTTAAAACTTTGTGCCGTAGCTTGACGATAAACTGGCTCAGCTTTAGCCTCTTCTTTTCAAAAAATTATCACGGAAAATCTTTCTAGGGGTGGTGGTGGGAACTAATGGCGCAGCAGCTGTAGGCGCCGCCATGACCGTGTGAGACCACGGATCGATCCCATCCATGAAATAGGTGATAGTACCCATCAATTCCAGGAAACAGCAAAAACTCTTACTTGGTACATCAAGTGGCCCACGTGATCCATATTGCAACAGTCTAATAGTACACATAATTTTGTCAATAAGAACTTCATGGGACATGAGAATTTTTGTAGAATAGGAACTTTATGATAACTTTTGTACAAAATTGATAATAAGCAATTTGAAAACAATCAGTGGCAGCAATCTCAAATCAGTATTTTAACCAGAAAAATTTGCTTGGAAGACCTTCACGAATTTTTAATTTGATAGTATCTGAAAGACAAAACTGATTTTAGACAATTTTCTCAGAAACATTCTAAAAATGAAATTTCAAAACGTTATCCTTCGCGAAACCGGCGAAACCACGCAAAATTCTTCTAAAAGTCTTGTTTCTATCCAAAAACTTAACTCTTTTGCCATATATTTACAGGTACTCATAGAGAATATTGCATGTGAGACATAGTTGCATAAACGACTCCTTCTTATCAACTATTTCATAAAATCCCTGTGAAACGTAAATAATTTGATAAATTTGAGATATTTTATCAAATCGCATGATTATTGCACCGAATTTCTAGAATTCGAAAACTCTTTTATTTTCAATGAAGCTGCTCTCTCGGATAAGAAGGAGAACGAGTGCTTATTGCAATCAATGATGACTAAGGCGATAGCTCAAAAAAGAGGAAAACTTTTAAATTTTTCAGGTGCTAAAAAGCAAGAAAATCCAGTGAGATTCAATTTTTTTTTCTTCGACTTTGTTTGTTCTGTTACTCCTCCTTCTAACAACACGTAACAAAAAATGTTTAAAAAAGGTCGAATCCATTCTTAAAACATAATGGAGAATTCTGGTAATTTTCTTTGCATGAAGAATAGAATGTATTTTTTGTGACAGTTGTCCTTCAAACTGCTCATTTCCAGTCACACCATCAGCCACTACGAGCCGCAACTGAAACTAAAAAGCTACTGTCGTACTGAGGTCGTGTTCGGAATCGAGAGCACGATCTGCTATTGCCGCGACGCGGACTTCTGCAACGCGGCGCGGTTACCACGGGCCTTTATCGGCGGACCTCTATGCCTGCTCGTGCTCACCCTCCTATTTCTTGAAGCCTTGTGACAGAATGTACCTGTACATATATAGATCGTTTATGAACTTCTAGTCCCGCCCCTTGACTCTATGCTCCGCCCATTTTGTACGCGTCACACATGGATATTGTACTCTTCCAGCAAGTTTTCGTGTTCATTTTTGTTTTTTCCTGTGAATTCATGCAAATGTCTGTATTTGCACCAAAAAACTGGTCGTGTCTTTCAAGCAGTAGTCGATTGAATCGATTTATTGATTATTGTTCATCCCGCATCGACATATCAGACCGTGTATTATGGCTAAGAAATTTCTTATATAATTACTGTTCAGACAATTATGGAACTAATTATATATGTATTGTTGAATATGTATGAGTAAAGCGATAATAATACTTGTTCCTAATGTTTTTCCTCATTCAAAGGGAAAAAGTACGAGGAGAGTAGGAATGACATCACAGTTCCTGACTAGTTTCTAAATACTATTCGAGTAACAAGGATTACATATTATTGCTATTTAAGGGGGCGGGGACTTTGGCAAAATATTAGCCGGGAGAGAGACGTAGACAACACGAAAAAATAACAAACTCACAAAATTATCGACATTCTAACCCGGCTCCGCCAGCTCTACTATACAAACATAAATACACACACAACCGTCATAACACAGTTACAGTAATTATGACAAGCACCTGAATCAATATGATGGATTATTTAGCACTGTATTGGGCAACTTTCTAGGATGATACGGTAATGATGTACGTCAAATGACCTGGCGGGTGAGTTTCCGAAAAATGCAAATTTTTGACACGATATTTGGCGAATATTATACAGAAAACAATCGAGCTATAGCATATAGAGCGCAGTAAAATTGCGCCAACGACGTCATTAATTGACGCCTATCCGGTGCCACATGCATACGGGCAGGCCATGTTTCTTGATCATCTGTATCCAATGAGCGTGACCTGTTATGTCACCCATTCGACCAATCACACAATGTCCAACAGAGATAGGTTGATTGGAGGCGTCGTGGTCGAACATCTGTAAAAAACAATTTTTGGAGGAAAAATCCACAAGAAGCGGACGCGTCATATCAAGGATCCGTTCAAAGTCGACCGTGCCAGTGCCGTGCTAGCACGTGTCTGAACGTCGTTCAATCGATACAACGCGCGATTGTGTATTCTGGCACAATGCTGGCACGGCGCTGGCACGCGAGAGACTCTGGACGTGCAAAGGTGGGTGGTGAGTAATTTTCACTTCTGTTGATATTTTATTCGATTAGATATTTGGGATTTAAGGGTGTTTGTCTTTTTTTTGAACCGACTGAGGAGATAGCTACAGTATTGGGGTAAAGCAAACCCAAGAAGGGCGTGGCGGGGGCGGAGTCAGCGCATGCAGTATAAATAGACTTACTTCTATGACGATATGACATCGATCCAATTTCACCGGGGTAACGTGGAAAAGGAAAGATTCAGAGAAGGATGCATCACCGGATGAAGAGCTCAGTGAAGAAGATACGGATGATGACGATGGTTTAGAAGACGTGCTGTAAAAAACCATTTTTTGATTTTTTCCGGCTGCACCACCCAAAAAAAACTTACTCTAAAGAAGACTTATGGCCAACGGAAGGATTGACTGTTGTCTGTTTTTGCTCCACGAGTCGCCTACCGTCAAACAACATTATCCGGGCGAAGGGAGCTAAAAAGTGTTAATTTGCCATTTTCTACAAAAACAAGCAATAAAAGTCTCTTACCGTTGTTGTACGGCAGTGCCTTAGCTCTTTTGACCGTGGCAGTGACAAACTGGACTTGGGGAGCGTAGGTAAGTATTGTTAGCAATTCGCAATCATTGTCCGATGAACTCTAAAAATCTCTCTGTATTTCAAGGATGTGAGGATTTGGAAAAAGGATTTCTGAGTCCGTTTTTGTATCCAAACATAATTCAAGTACGCGAGTACCCAAAAACAGCTCTTTTTTTCTTTTTTCAATGAATTCGCAGAATTGTATTAGGTTGTCCCATAAGTCTTCTCATATTCGGGCATTCAATTCGATATTTCTCAAGAACTAGAGCACCTAGAAGGCTGCAAATTTGTGGCAGTAGTTCTGGGTTAATAAGCTATATAAACCCCTATTTGGGGGGAACACAGAACTGATACAGGCAAAGTTTGAAAATTGAGCGCATTATTTTTTTCTCGGTGTTTAGCCGTCAGAAAAATGCAGCAAGGGCATGTATAAATATCCGATGAGGAGAGTATATGCATGAAAACGTAGGAAATTTGCAGAGTTGTTCTGAACTGAGATATGATGATTTTCGTTCTTTTGGAAAATTGAAAATTTTTCTATTTTGGCTCGGAACTTGTTGCGGATTGAACTTATTGCTAACTTTTGAACGTCATCTTGTAGAGCTTGCTTTGATCTGTCGAACGGTATCCTGCATTTTATTAGGAATGCAAGAAGAACGGATTTATATCGCTGAAAATTCAGGTATGAAAAGACTTATGGGACAACCTAATATATTAATAGTGTGGCAAATGGCCAAAAACTGAGTCTTTATTTCGGCGTTCTACTCAGGGAAGTTGTATGATTGTTTTCTCAAGAAAAGGCTGTATAAACCGAAATGTTTTCAAGTCATTCCTCATACAACAAAATAAAATCTTTTTTGCATAAAAAACTACGTCTATTTTCATTCTATTTTCAATCTCCTCTAGAAAATACAATCTTTAATGTAGGTGATACTTTTCCTTGAGTCTTTGGGTCTTTGATACCTCCCTCCGTTACTAATAATGCCGAAAAAAGTCGGGTGCGTACCTTGCTAGCATTATAAGCCATTTGGAACTCGAGATCATCGGCGCTGATTCGAGAAATTCGCTCGGGAAGTGTCTCTTCTTCCGCCTGAAAGTTGATATGCAATAATTATCAACATACACACGCAGACTTCAGATTCTAAATAGGTTTTGGATTTTATCTGGTTCAAAATGTGCAAAAAAACCTTCATTAATGGTAAGTTACATGCACCACACTACCTCGAGTACTCGGTCTTCAAGTTCGCTGTCGAACACCGTCCTTTGGCCGGGATCTTCGTTAGAGAGGAATTTGGTCCATGCGTCTTTATGTGGAGCAACTTTCTCTTCTTTTAGTTCTAAAACCAGGGTTTTTATTTGGTGCAACAAGTAGAGCAAAATTTTCTTGACATTGGCTAATAAGAGAACGATGACAAGAAGAGAAATAGAATCTGAGTAATGGCATCAGAGAATCATACTCATTTCAGAAAAACTTGCAAATTTCAAGTTTTCTTTGATGCTTAGACCTAAAAAGTCCGCACGTTAGGCTCCTTTGGATTTTCTAATGCTCATGTTTTTCTCCTAGAGTCCACCAAAAAATATTTGGGGCACGGCTCACCTCCATGACGATCTCCCCATTCTCGGTGTTCATGTTTTGCAGCTCGACCATGCTTGGTGCCGTTGGGTCGTGGATCCCTGGAATTGACGATATGAGAACTCATAATTTTTAAAAAATAGGTTCAGGCTTCCCAAACAATAGTTGAGAGCAGAATTCATAGAGTAGAAGGGTAAAATCTTACCGATGCACTCTGTTTGCTCTGGCCGCAGGAGCAGGCTGATTTTTCCCGGCTCGATTCATATTTTTTGGTGCCCAACCTGACGATGGATCAGCTCCGGCTTGGGATGGTGGCTGAAAGAGTTCACTTTATTGGTGCATTCTTTATCTCACATGGAAAGTTCCTTTAAAAGATTGCAAAAGTTCTTCCACTAGAAACTGGATTTCTTCTGATTTTTTTTAGATCTGTAGTTCTAACGTTTACTCAATTTACTTTGTTCTATGGTAGCCGCCCTGACAAACTCCAATTCGACAAATTTCTTCGAATTTTAGTCTTTCGTAGTACTCAAGCAAAATCTGCATAATGGCAGGAAACTCCCAGCTCTGCTACGGATATCCTGCTGCCATTTCCAAGACCACTTTGCACAATTATAGCCTAGCTTAAGGTCACTATTTCATAGCAAGATTTGTACGTTCTCTGACCAATTTAGTGAAGTAACATTGGAGATTTTCTTGAGAGTGCAGTCATCTTCAAGCTGAACTTTCAAAGTATAATTAAGCGCTTCTCTGGGACTGAGGTCGTTTTTCTTGCTATTCGAGAAGTTTGCACCTAACATCAACTTATCGGGATTCACGGCACAAGACTACACTTTTGGAGTATTTTGGGAATGCTCAAATTAGGACACAAATAACTTTACAGACTTCTAGTTTTGAGACGAATGCAGCAAAAGGCAGAATTTCTCAGACCTCAAGAATTAAAGTTCTGCAAAAAAAAACTTCAAAAAATGACGATTCAGTTAAAGACTTTGACTTGGTACACCAAACATAAGCGGGACAAAGGCAAGTCTCTGTGTAATTTCAATCCTTATATACAGTTTTGATTAGAAATGGTCCATCATTGATACACAAAAATTGTACTCCATTTGAAACGTGCAGGTATATTTAAATGAGTAAAAAAGTGCATTTCAAACATTTGCAGCGCAAAGTTGGAAAAAATTACATGATTTAGGTTGGTGAAAATGAGTAAAGATGATTATTCAAAAATGTCGCTATTGTTTTTCAAAAAGTGTCCATGGGGATAAGCGTTTTAGGAAGTGAGGAAGAAGGTCATAGCTGTTTAACAATCATACATTTGCGGTTCCATAAGCTGTAGCACATTATTATATATCCAAAGTAATGTCGTATAAAAGTCATTTGATTTACAGTACTAAATAATTTTTATGAGCTCGACAAAAACTCATAAAGTATAATCACTCGAATGTCCGTAAAAATTATTGCTATCGTGAAGGGTATTGAAACAGATATAGAGCACAAAAGCAAGTTAATCGGATATTCTTACCGTTTTATGTAGTTGAACGGCTTTGTGTGGCATGTTGACAAATGATTGATATTCGAAAAAGTGCTTGGCAATGAAGTTCATTCCCTAAAAAATGTTAGACCTTGGTCTTTGAGCTCTCAACGTCTCTTTTCATATGCCTCATCGCTCTCACTTCCTTTCATTTTTCTCACTTTCGCTTACTTTGTTTCATTTAGAAAATAAAGAAATCACCAAACACTGGGAAACTTCTTACTAAATTATTTGGACATATTCACCAGTTAAAAGAGACTTTTATCAGTCAGCAAGAAAATTTTGGAACCTGTCGAGCTAAGATTGTTATTACTCAGAAAATACTGCATCTTCAAGAGATGAAAATTTGAATGTGTACTCTTATATGTAATACGTGTTGTGAATCTGAGCACGTGGGAGGTGTCCAGGGCCAACGAGGGGCGGAGTTTGCCACATTCAAAACAATTTCGTTTTTCTTGTTTTTCAAGCGCGAATTCCATACAGCAGTGCATACGAAATGTATGTGAGTGCCTACTATAAGCATTCATAAAATATTATTTTGGACAAAAGCCAATATTGAAATTTTGGCTATTATTTTTACGACAATGATTGATTATGCCCATGAATGGTACTTTTCTTGTAGGGCTTGCTTTTATTCTTGTGTGAACAGATGTGTCGCATCTTTCAGCCAGTATTTATATCGAAACAAGCATTCCATCCAAACCCAGTATCTGAGAGTTTTTTTGCCAAATTTATCCTTCATTGACATGCACCAATGTACATATTCTTGCTGACTATGTTAATTTTGAGAACAAAAAAATTGCCCTCTGCAAAATTTCCGCTCCAAACTTCTGCAGGAGACTAGAACCCCAATTATGCAAAGAGTTTCTCCTGAAGCCGTGCTCGAGTTCCTCCCGCGGCTCAAAACAACTCACTGAAATCGAGTCTAGCTGAGCACTTCACCTAATTCAATTGACATATTTTCGGCAGCGCTTCTCTCTCGGAGCACTTTCTCATCAAGTCAGCTCTCTCGGCTCTCGGCTCACTTCAACACTGTCCCAGCCCTCGCGAGAAGATTCTTCACTGGAACGACTTCTGGGTGAGATGCATTTGTGCACCAAACGTGGGTGCCGTTTGGCACGCCACCAAAATGGCGACGTAAGCACAGCGCTGTCCATTTCGGATACCGTAACCGGGTACAGTAAGCGCGGCGGTTGCACCAATCAGGGCAGATCTGACGAATAGAGATGAGAAAATTGCACGTAATCGAGGCGAATGGAAGTAGTTGTCAGAATTTTGATCCATCATGATTGATAGGATTGAGTTTGCGACAATAAGGCTTTGAAGGCAAAATTGTTACCAAAATTGAAGGAAATGGTAACTCAACTATCAGAAAAGTTTCATTCATGCAAAATTCTGAGAAATTACCCAATAGTTTTCTATCTGGGGAAGGACAGGATGCGAGTAGTGGCTCATCTTATGTACTGGTATACTAATTGATTCGAATTATACTAATAATTCTCAAATACATAGAACGAACACATAAACTATAATTCATGTTAAACTAAGCCGCTTTCGAAAGTTTCTTACCCACCTCCTCTTAAAATGGACTCTATAAAGCTACAGCTAACATTTTATTGAGCAGTTTTTATGAGATAGTATGAAGCAAAAATGGTGTTAGCTTATTCTGAGCACTTCAAAAAAGAAGGTTGGGTTCCACAGACTAGTGGTCCCTACTTGGTATGCTATAGTATGTGCAAAGAACCAGTATTCCGCAGTGGTGGATTTCGCATTTCTTCCCAAAATTCTGTTTGCACTTGGTTCCAACAGATTTTTCCACAAAAAAGAGAAATAAGATTACTTGAAAGTGGGCATATACAAATACATTTGGATATCCAAGTATTAACTAGACTATCAAATTTGAAAATTTTTCATAAAAATTATACCAGAGTAAAGTAGATACGATACTCAGAGGCTACGCGGAACTTATGGGCCTAGAAAGCCCGCTCCGAGTTAAGGGTCCCAATCGGCAATAAAGCGACACTAAGAAATAATTCACCAACACAGCAGGGGCTCGGCTCCATTTGTAACGACTCTGTCGCAGGCCAATCTTCATTATTTCAATGAGAGGAGTTCCGAATAATTTCCTTTGCCAGTAAAGGTTACGAGTTAGAAAGAAACCTAATCAGCTTTTGGTTACCCCAGTGGCTGTAAGAAGTTAATCTCCCAAACTAAGAAAGAGAGCAGCCGAAAGAGCCAAACGACATGAGATCATGAGTTCTCAATATTTCTTTCGTTGTTCCACGTTTTAATGGGGGTCTTTATGGCAGACAATGAACATAAATGGCTGTTTTTGCCACTAATATGGCTTTAATATTGCTAAGAAACGAATGTAGTGCAGACCTTAAGAGAGTGACTTGGACGCAAGCTAAAAATTTTTGAGTTGAAAAAGGTAATTTTTTGGCGAAAATGCTCATGAAGGCGTTAGTCACCATAACTTTGAATAAATCTGTCTCACCACCGCATAGATGGAAAAAGCAAACATTGCTTTGGCCATAAAAAGCCAAAAAGATTCAAAACCATGTACACTGGCTTAAATTATGAATTCCCAGAGCCTGCAATCTTTCCAAAATGATCTCATTTAGTTCACATAACAATTTGCTACAAATCTCACAGCAGCAGAAAATGTGTAAAACTACAAATTTTATACATCCTAAGAACTGCATAGCTACTTGCTTAACTGTTGCGGAAAAACTGAAAGTCAAAGCCTAATGCAGAAAAAAAATTCGAAACTACTGAAATCTGAAAAAAGAGTTAGTACTGTGTGTATATCTCGGAGATTCTCAGAGATTCTCACATCTGTAACAGATAAGTTCAAAGCAGATGTCGCAAAACAACCTATCAAGTTTCAAGCTTTTTGTCTGATTATTGCAGTTATAAGCATCGTACAAGAGAATCAGAATAAAAATAAAATTTCATAAAATTAGGCGACTCTAATAAATTTAGGGTTAAAGACTGTAGAATGAGGGCTTTCGATAATCATAAAAGAGAGTAGCTGAGTGCTTTGTTAAGATTAAGGCCCAATCGCAGGACCGTATGGGCAGCAGCATGAATCTATAGGGCTCTTCCATACGGGACCGCGAGAGCGCAAGAAACGTGTGGTAGCTTTATCTATGCAGTCAGAGAGGGGCGTGGAGGAGAGGAGTGCGACGCGTTAAAACAAGTCGCGCATGTTTCTATTGGATACTGTAGTGCAAAACGACCGCGCCCCCTCAGATCACGGAAATTTAGCAGTTATTCGAAATTTCCGCCAACTTGGACATAAATTCATTATTTTGGAAGCGGTAAATATTATGTTGCAGCAAATTTTCATACGATAATTACGAGCTCATTTATGAGCTATTAGATGCGACAGGTATCCAACCTCTTAAAGAAATAGTTCCAAAACTACCAATCTTTCCAGAAAAAGGATAATCTTGCCCTAGTAGGGCAATGAGATGACAGCGGACATCCGCGGACTGACGTGCTGCGGGCGGTGTCGTATGCGTGCGCGAAGGAGAGCGTTGAAATTGAATATCAGAATGCAATTAACAGCCGTCGTAAGCCATGTGCCCGTGGATAAAAGAATGTGTTGCACGAAGCTACATCGAGAGTTTGATCTTTGGATCTTTATGTAGGAGTTTTACCCATTGAAAAAATCTAGGAGCATAAGTTTACCCTATCAGAAAACTTCACATCTATCAAATTTCAGTGCTCAGTGCGCGGATATCATTACAGCTTTTTCTCTAGAATATTTGAGGTTATTCACAAAAAATATGCTCTTTTTGTACTTCTTTGCTGAGAGATGCAGGATTCCGAAATACTGTAACCTGAGTAATTTTAATCTGTAGTTCCAAACGGAATCTTGATAAATCAGATTTTCCACAGATATAACTAATAAAGCTCACACCCTCGACATAGGGCCCAAAAGAGCTATTTCTAACCCCGACGTAAACTGTTAATTTGATGGATTTCGTGGACAAATGTATCCAAAGAAGGAAATGCATAAATGCCATTGAATAGTTATTACTGCAAAAAAAACTTAAATTCAATAAAACGGAGCTTGGAATCGATATGCAATCTCTCATTTTCTTGCCCCCTTTGTCAAAATCGAGCAATTAACAAACTTTTTTGAGATTGCCTGGCCTAATTAGAGACGATAAAGGATAATCAAGTCACGAAATTTTTGGAAAAAGGAAAGGTATACTAAGCGTATAATAACTGGCATAAATATATCAAAATACTGCATAGTACTAGTACTCCCTTTTAAGAACGGGTTTTCGACAAAAAATTTGAAACTACTGCACCAAAATTCTTGTAGTGTAGGACCGGATTATGCGTTTCCTTTTTAAAAGCTTTAGCGAGAATTGTTTGTGACAGCTAAAACAAATTCAGCGACGAAGTCCCGTTGAATGAAGAAAGGACATCCAATCAAGAAGAGCAGCGTAGCCACTAGGATGAAGGTTCATCCCAGCATCTAATTGGAGTCTAAGCTTATTTTAGGGAAAAACTGAAGAGAAAGAAGTTTTTTGATGGTAGCTTAAGTACGACTTATTCCATGATAATCGCACCTTAAGGACAGGTTACTGAGAGGGAGGATGTGGATTGAGAATTGAAAAGTTAAGAACGGCATATTAGGACATACGTCGAAGTTCGACGATAAGTTAGCTTTAAGAGAGGGAATTTTGCGATTTTTTGGCACCCCTAATGACCTCGGCATGTCTTCGCGAAATTTCGCCAAAAATCGAATTTTCTACGCAAAAAGAAAGATTTCGTGAGCAAGTGTAGTTAGCTGGATATTGAAGAGGTCATGACGAGATTTGCGCGCCGTGAACACCCTAGAGACACGAATGAAGGGCGCATGATTGCCTTTAGCGGTCTTGCAAAAGTTTCCACCCTCGGGCCATGGTTGAACTTTTTTGCACGAGGGCCGCGAAGATGCCAATAAGCTGCTGTGACTAATAGCCTTATAGGAAAAGCATGGAAAAACCCAGAAAATGTCCGCAGAGTTTTCTGCAGCTGAGAGCGGCCGGCGAAGGCGGCGCAGGAAAGAGTGT